GAACTATCTTGCATTTTTCTAGATGATGGGTCATTTGACAAAGATTCAGGCAAACAACAACACAGAACCAAGAAGGTCACCGATACGTTACAATCCTCACCTGTGTCCAGTGAATTTGTTCCATTTCTAATTCCTCAGTAGTTTTCTTGGTTTCAGTGAGATGTTTTTACTCACCCTGATCACAGTGTTTACAGCAAATCTCATAAAGCCCGCATGTTACTGTTGTTCTGGAAGGCTCCTGCTCTGTGAATGACAGGCTTTAATGAGTTGGGAGTATCTATGCACATGGCATTTACTTAAAAAAAAAAAAAGGACAATCCTTTTAAACAGCTATAGCTAAAGAAATTCAATTTAGTTTACTTTGGAGGAAATGAGAAAGTTGAATTGTAGGTGTGGAGTCTTACAACCTTTCAGACTGATAAAAGCATGGTTTGGGGGATGGTTGGAACCGCATGGAATTGCTTCAGCCAAAATTATTTTTGTGAGCACATTTCCAAACTCACAATCATGTTTTGATAAGAAAAATCCCTTTCTCCACAAGTTCTCAGGTCCCACTCATTGGCCCCTCACCCCAGTTCTGGAACCTCTGTCAGACTGTTACATGGCTCGCAGTTCTTGGTGATATGTTTTCAATTTGAGTCAACTTGATGAGAGAAAAATTACTAAAAAGTGGGAATGAGCTGTGAGGTGAATAGGGTTTTCCTATCAAAGTGGAGGTATTTTTAAAAGCATTTATTATTTCAAACTAAAACATTTATAGAACGCCATGAGTGTGAAGTGTATGGTTACCAGTTGTGGCTTGCCGTATTGAAAAATTCAAGTTCATAGGAAATATTTACTGAGGCTCTGGCTAGCAAGTAGTGTGTACATGGGAATAATTTGGTCCAGAAGGCATGTCAATTTAAAACAATAGTTTACTAATCTAGTTAGTAACAGGCAATTAGGATTTATAAATGTTGCCATGATTGAGACATAATATGGGGTCTTCAATGAAAACAATCCTGTTATTAACAGAACAGAACCAAAGGCCACATGTCTATGTCTTACACACACATGAATGTCAGAAGTGAGAAAATCACCCCTCCATTTTCAGTATTTTATAGGCTGTGATGTAAAATGGTTATTTTTGTGTGTGTGTTGAAAATGATGAATATCTTTTTTTGGCATATTTGTTTTACTGTAAAGAGGTATTTAGCTTATAAGTGAAAAGAGCCTGGCTCTGACTCTGGATTAAAGAAATGCTGTACAGCTAAGTTTAATATTTTAGGAAAGGTCAGTTTTGTGTGGCATTCTCTGGAAATTTGTTTGGGACGTGTAAAATTCTCTTGTCATATGAATTCTGTAGATCTGAGGGAAATATATTTAATCACATGGGGTGAGAACATTCCTTTTTGTGTGAGTTCTTAGTAAGCCCATGATGTTTCTTAACACTCAATTATATGTCATGGAGTTCATTTCACAACAATACATATGGTGTATTGCTGGAGAAAAAAAGCAGGCTGCAAATAGTATGTATGATATATGAATTGTGTGTGTGTGCCCGTGTGTGTGCCCGTGTGTAAAAAGAAAGATGTCTTTATGGCTGTTAATAGTTAACTCTGGGTGGTAGGTTTTGGGTTATTATTTTCTTTATATAGTTTTTTTTAGAGTGCTTGATTTTTTGTAATTGTGAAATGTGCAATACATTAATTTTTATAATTTTTTTATTTTTTCAAATCCTCACCCAAGGATATTTTTCCATTTATCTTCAGATAAAGTGGGAGGGAGAGAGATAAACATCAACATGAGAGGGACACATCAATTGGTTGCTTCCTGCACAACCCTGACCAGGGCTGGGGACCAAACTGAAACTGAGGTACGTGACCTTGACCAGAATCAAACCCATGACTCTTTGGTCCACGGGCCAACACTCTAAACACTGAACCAAACCAGCCAGAGCTGCAATACATTTCAAATAGGACATATATACAGTTTAGAGAACAAAAATATAATGAATACCCACTGTCTAGTTAAAAAAAATGGAGTATTACTTTATCTCAAAAGCCCAGCTTTTCTTCTGCCCCACCTGTCATGGATGTGATTACTTGCATGAATTCTGTGTAAATGTTTCTTTGCTTTTCTATATGGATTAGGTACATATGAATGTATCGATAAACCATATATGTTTTTATTTTGATGGCTTTAAATTTTATTATTGTTTTTTTAAAATTTTTTTTTCTTTATTGATTTTTAGAGAGAGAGGAAGAGAGAGGGAGAGAGATATAGAAACATCGATGAGACAGAACATCAATTGGCCACCTCCTGCATGTCCCCACTGGGGACTGGGCACATAACTTGGGCATGTGCCCTGACTGGGAATTGAACCAGCGACCTCTTGGTGCATGGGTCAACACTCAACCGCTGAGCCACACCAGCCGGGTGATGGCTTTAAACTTTAAATGAATAGAATCATACTACATATATTCTTTTGTAATTTTTTTTTTGCTCATTATAGTTTTGAGATTCCTTCATATTGATGTATGCTATTAATTTTTTCTTTGTGAGTGGAAAATATCCTCTGAGCACAAAAAATATCAATGAAGTTATAATACCTTGATTAAAGACTTAAATGTTAGACTGAAAACCATAAAAATCCTAGAAGAAAACACAGGCAGTAAAACCTCAGACACTTTTTGTAGCAATAATTTTTCTTTTTTAAAAAATTTTAATATTGACATTATTGTAAGAGTCTCCCTCCCTGCCCCTCTTTGCCCATCTCCATTTACCCCTGCCTCCCCCTCCCTTGGTCTTTACCCTACTATTGTCACCATGGGCAAGGGAAACAAAGAAAAAAATAAACAAATGGGACTACATCAAACTAAAAATGTTTTGCGCAGCAAAGGAAACCATCAACAAAATGAAAAGACAACCCACTGAATGGAGAACATATTTACCAATGATATATCTGATAAGGGGTTAATATTTAAAATTTATAAAGAACTTATAAAACTCAACACTTATAAAAATTCTCCAAAGAATACATAGAGATGGCCAAGAGACATATGAAAAGTTGCTCAACATCACTATCATCAGAAAAACGCAAATTAAAACCACAGTGAGATATTACTTCACACCTGTCAGAATGGCTATCATCAATAAATTAACAAACAAGTGTTGGTGAGGATGTGGAGAAAAGAGAACCCTTGTGCACTGTTGGTGGGAATGCAGAGTGGAGCAGCCACTGAAGAAAGAAGTATGGAATTACCTCAAAAAATTAAAAGTGGAACTGCCTTATGACCAAGCAATTCTACTACTGGTAATAATCCAAAGAAACCCAAAACACTAATTCAAAAGAATATGTTCATTGCAGCATTATTTACAATAGCTAAGATTTGGAAGCAGCCCAAGTGCCCATCAGTAGACAAGTGGATAAAAAAGCGGTGGTAGATCTATATAATGGAATACTCTTTAGTCATAAAAAAGAAGAAAATCTCACCTTTTGCAACAGCATGGATAGATCTGAAAATTATTATGCTAAGTGAAATAAGCCAGTCAGAAAAAGACAAGTACCATATGATTTCATTCATATGTGGAACCTAAACAGCAAACTAAATAAACAAACAAGATAGGGACAGACTCATAGACAGAGAAGAGACTGACAGCTGTCAAAGGGAAGGGAGGTTGAGGGGCTGGGTGAAAAAGGTGAAAGGATTAAACAAAGAAAAAGAAAGCTCATAGACATAGACAACAGGATGGTGATTACAAGAGGGAAATGGGGGTGGAGGGAGGTAGAAGAGGGTATAAGGAGGATAAATGATGATGGAAGGAGACTTGACTTGGGACAGTGAACATATAATACAATATACAGATGATGTATTATAAAATTGTACACCTGAAATGTATATAATTTTATTAACCAATGTCACCCCAGTAAATTCAATAACATTTTTTAAAAAAAGACAAGAAAACCCCATATTTACATTTAAAAATATACTTGCTGGAGGAGTTCTGAAATACCCATACTTTTGTGAATTGAAGAATTTTTTCTGGTTCTTACATGTAGATGGTGTTGACAGCTGCCTACACAATATGATGTTAGGGATCATTGGCTGTACACCCAAACAGAAATACCTCCCTTTCCTGCATCCCCAGGCAGCCTCTGTGCCTCAAATTCAGCCATTCGCTATTCTTTCCTAGGCACTTTAGGAACTATCTTTCAAAAGGAAAACTGTGTCATTTACCATCTGACATGAATTAGTTTTGCCAATGATCAGCTTTACAGGGAAAGTAGAGGAAAGGGACAGTTCTAGACTTTGAGAGGTTTGGGGACAGGTTTCGGTGGGATGATTCACAGAAGGGCTCTGGGCGTTCCAAAGGCGACTGAGGACAGATTGAGGAGGCAAGTGTGCGGCAGACAGAGAAAGGAGGTGGGAAGGCAAAATTATCCCCTTTATAATGCTGCCCATATATAGTGACAAGCACTTTTTGAGTACCTAGTATATAGGCTTCATGCTAGGCAGTTTCAATTCAAAATATAACTGAGACCCAGTATAACGGAAAAATCAAATACACCAACAATCTTTGTACCATGTCCCAGATGGCTATTAGGAGAGAACAAAAGAAATAGTGACTGACTTCCTGGGGTCCTTCAACCAGGAGGCCATACTGTACGGATACTCGAAGGAAGGGTGAGTCTGGTGGACAAGGAAAGGGGACTATTCCTACTCAAGGGATGGACATGTACAGAGGCAAAACGATATGGGAGCAGAGACACCAGGGAACTGCTAAAACATATGGCTGGAGTGTAAGGTCCATCTTACACCACCAAAGGGATGGTTCTAACGTCTGACCATGTCATCCACCTATTTTGAAATCTGTGCCTTTCCAGCACTCACTCTTGCATGGTACATCATATCATTTGCTCTTGACCTCAGTCCACCTCTCCTACCATGCTTTTCACATTATTTTCCTTGAATGAATCTCTGAAGCACACTTTCCTCATCTATAAAAATAGAGAACTTGTGATCACTTTGGCAGCACAGACACTAAAAGTAGAACAATACAGAGAAGATGAGCATGAGCCCTGTGAAAGGGTGACACCCAAATTCTTGAAGTGTTCTATATTTTTATTAAGAAGCACAATTTGGTTACAAAATAGTCACAGAGATGTAAAGTACAGAATAGGGAATACAGTCAATAATAAGACGATAACTATGTATGGTGCCAGGTGGGTACTGGAACTATCTGGAGGAACACTTTGTCAAGTATGTGATTGTTTAATCACTATGCTGTACACCTGAAACCAATACAAAATAATATTGAAAGTAAAGTGTAATTGAAAAATAAAAATAGAGAACTATATCAGGTCACCTAAACTCAGCTCCCTGCATTTTCCACAGATAACCTGATAACAATCACCAAAACTTGATTTCTGGTGCCTGAGTATTTTATTTCAGAAAGAGAACATTTCCCTTTATTACTACAGTTGAATTATAGAATTCCAGAGACATACGGGTTCTTGCGGATGTTGATGACCTCTCCATGAAGACCCAAATGTAGGAGTCTATGAGAACACCAATTAGTCACTTATCATATATTTGAGTACCTAATGTGAGCCAGACACTATATGACAATTATATCATGTTATGAATCTACTGGAAAATAATTTAGCCTTACTTGTATGGTACACCTATAGAATACACTTTTGCTTATATTTATCTTAAATTTTATAACTCTATCATAAGTGTTTCAAAACCACCTAAAGGCCACATGCAAGGTGTGGTTTAATTGTACTTTGCTAATTTTTCTTCTGTTTGGATAAAGCACAAATATAGTACAAGAATCACATCTTACCAAAGCAAACCAATAAATTGTAGTTTTCAAAAATAAAGTTGGGAACCTTCAGCTATAAATAAGAAATCATCAAACTGTGAGAAAGAAATAGATCTATTATATGGAAATAAATTGAACTTGCTGAGCAACTTAATTAAATTTGATTTACCAAATAATTACTGGCACCTATATTAGACATTGTAGAGGACACCATGCTTTCCAAAAAATGACCCCTCTACACTTGGCAGCCTTGAATGTAGTATGACTCTGTGCACTCTACAGAAGAGTCCAAGAATGGAGAATTTCCCATCCTTCTCGCTACCCCCAACTTGCAAAAGCAACCACACTATAACATGGCTCTGATACAAAGCTAATCAGCCCTGTAATTAATCCAGAACAGGCAGTGAAGAAGTCAAGTAGTGATGAGCACGGGCAGATTGAACTACAAATGTTAGTCTGTACTTCACTCCAGAAACTGGTAGTGAATGTAACAAACCTTTCCCTCTGACACTTTTTTCTCTGCATGTCCAGGCTTGATGCTATTGATCTAGAATTTCTGATGCTCCTGAGAAAATTTCTGTAAGATTTTTGCATATGGCTCTCAGACCCTATTCTCTTTGCCATTCCTAAGCCCTCTCACATCCCTCACTACGGGAAGACTGCTGAACGGTTGCCAGATTTGGCTGATCCTGGCAATCTATTCAATCCTGAAGTCTGGCTCTTAACCTCTGCAATGTACCACTCTAGACAGGTGTAATCTTAACTTATCCATCATGAGGAAATATGTACATGGAGCCTCACTTTTAATCTGCTTGTATGTCTTCACACTGTGGTGAAAAACAGTGTTTTTTCCTATCTGCTGTTATTTGCTGCACCCTTCCACTCTACATGCCTTACATTTTCTTTTCTTCTCTTTTTTTTTTTATCCTCACCCGAGGACATTTTTCCTTTCTTTGCTCAGACAGAGTGGAAGGGAGAGAGAGAGAGAAAGAAACATTGACGTGATAGGGACACATTGAGTGGCTGCCACCCACACGGCCCAACCAGGGCTGGGGACAAACTGCAACCAAGGTACGTGCCCTTAGTGGGAACGGACCCGGGTCTCTCTGGACCACAGGCCGACACTCTAACCGCTGAGCCAAACCGGCTAGGGCATGCCTTACATTCTCCTGCTTAATTGCTTTTTAGAGAAAATCCTTATAAGTAAAAGTAAAAACCATTTTTCCCCAAGCATTACAGTCTTCCTTTACTTATTTATCCTTTCCCTCACTTCTTAAATATCCTCCATGCCTCAAAAGGTACTTTCTCATTAGAAAAAGAAAACCACAGAAATTCCAGTGTTGTTTGAGACAGCTGTATTATGTTGAAATGGCTTTGGTCTGGAAGGTGTTCATTCTACTGGACACTTCTGGAAACAAATATTTTAGCTTGATTTATGGTGCTGAAATAATTATTGTTATTTTACGGATTCCACGTATTTCCATTGGAAGAACAACATTTGGAAAGCATCTTCCCATTGTCCAGGCATCATTCGCTGTCCTGAATTATTTCAATTTAATTAAACCAGGTGGTACTTTGTGTCAACAAATTTTAGATAATGCTTGTAAATGGACTTTAAGGTGACAGGTACAATTTAGCAGGACATGTTACTTATGTTGATGCCATCTACCCAGATATGTCAAGTAATCTACAAGTATGTTCTTTGTACAGTTGTATGTAGAGCTAATCATTATGATAGCTAGACATAATCTGGATGGCACCCTTTCTTTCCATAATCATGTGAAACTTTGGGACTTTAGGGGAAGAAACTAAGTTGTTTTATACTGACTTCATTTCTTCCTGTCTCAGATCCTAGATTTGTCTGTTGAATGAACAGAAAATTATTACATGGCATCTAGAAATTGCCTGACCAATGCACATCTGACTGAAATATTCACTTCTGCCTTTGGAAGGATATGGAGGAAAGAAGGTGAAATTTGGGACCTGCACTTAATAGATTCAGTGTAGCTGACTTATTTCAACACTCACATTGTTATTCACTAAGTACTAATAGTCTACCTTATTCTAAGAAAGATTGGAAAAGATACACATGAGATTCACATATACTTTAAAATAAGATTAAAATATGCAGGAATAGAAAGTCAAGACAAGAGGAAATAAAAAAAAATTTTTTTTTAAGTTTTTTTATTGATTTTTTTAGAGAGAGAGAGGAAGGGAGAGATAGAAACATTAATGTGAGAGAGAAACCTCAATTGGCTTCTTCCTGCACGCCCCCTACTGGGGATCGAGTCCACAACCCAGGCATGTGCCCTGGTCGGGAATCAAACGGGGACCTCTCAATGCACTGAGCCACACAGGCCAGGCAAGACCAGAGGAAATATACTGTGAAGGTCAAAGGTGGAGAGAATTAGAACAGGACAATTCGGACCAATGTGAATAAAGCCGAGTTCAGTTTGGTTCTAAATGTCCTGTGATGAATGTGGAAAGTGAAACAAATGTAATTGGTAAAGTGTCAATTTAATTCACTGGAAAGAAACTACGCAAACATTTCAGTGCTTTCCCCTCATCATTTTAATCATTAAAAGTCACAGTGGGTCAGACACAGAGCTTTTGTAAGTCCATCTTCTTTTCTGCCACAGAATTCATAGCTAAATGTATTATTCTATTATCTTAAATGGCAGCTGGGAAAAAAATTTCTCTCACAATGTAGTCAATCTAAATCTGGGCTATAATGAACTCACTTGGCAGAATCTGGCTGGTTCATTCATAGTTCACTTAAAAGGACCAACTCCAGTGATGCTGTTTAGAACTACTTGGAGATACTCATCTTCTTCTTTGTACTTCCCCCTGCGTATTCCTGTTCCTAGGTCTTTATTCTGTCTCTAACCTTTACCTCAAATATGCCTGTTAGGAATTGTGAAAGGTCTGATATTTTATCCCCCCACACTTTTTTTGCACTTTTATTTTTATTTCTTTTTTAAATCTTTTATTAACACATTTTTTGGAATACTACTCAGCTGTAAAAAAGGAAATCTACCTTTTGTAACAGCGTGGATGCACCTGAAGAGTATTATGCTAAGTGAAATAAGACAGTCAAAGAAAGATAAATGTCATATGATTTCACGTATATGTGGAATCTAATGAACAAAATAAACTAACAAAATGGAGACAGACTCATGGATATAGAGAACAGACTGACAACTGTCAGAGGGGAGGGGATTGGTGGCTGGGTGAGAAAGGTGAAGGGATTGAGCAACAACAAAAAAACCTCAAAGACTCATGGACACAGACAACAGTATAGTGATCGCCAGAGGGAATGGGTGATTGCCAGATGGAGGAGGTAGAAGAAGGTAAAGGGGAGATAAATGGTGATGGAAGAAGACTTGACTTGGGGATGTAAACACATAATATACAGATAATGTATTATAGAATTGTATACCTGAAACCTATACGATTTTATTAACCAATGTTACCCCAATGAATTCTATTTTACCCTCTTTTGTAAGCTAACAATGTAGCCTGACTTAGTTTCATGACTCATAGCAACAGCAGTAGCCAGAGTATTAGCATTTGTGCCAATATCTTGAGTTCCATTTCCTACAAGGCCATAAAGAGGTGACACCTGCACAATCAATAACTGCATTAGAGGAGAGGAACACTGAGCTTATGGAACCCGAACATTTTATAATGGGAAATTACCATATCTATTCATTCCTTCACTCTGGAGAAAGACATTATCTCTGTCTTTCAAAGTGGTTAGCTATACAAACATCCTTGAAAAGATAGTTTGGAACAATGGCAGTTAATGTCTCTGCTTAAAAGGAAAGCAGAATCTCCCAACAATACCCCTGATCCTTTATATCTATTTAGATACTATCCATCCCTGGTGCAGCCACTATGGACAACAATATGGTGCTTCCTCAAAAAATTAAAAATGGAATTTCCATTTGACCCAGTCATTCCACTTCTGGGAATATATTCTGAGAAGCCTGAAACACCAATCAGAAGGAATATATGCACCCTTATGATCATAGCAGCACTATTTACAATTGCTAAGATCTGGAAACAACCCAAGTGTCCATCAGTAGATGAGTGGATAAAAAAACTGTGGTACATGCACACAATGGAATACTAGGCAGCTATAAGAAAGAGAGCTCTCTTACTCTTTGAGATGACATGGAGGGACCTGGAGGGTATTATGCTGAGTGAAATAAGCCAGTCATTAGAGAACGACGAGTACCACATGATCTCACTTATTTATGATTTTTCATGAACAAAATAGTTTGTTGATAAAAA